TTTAAGCACAACTCCTGAGGACCTTACGCAACAAAAGTTTACATACGACAAATCATGGATAAGGGCCCAATGAGTAATTAGAATACTATAATGTGTCTTATGAAAATATACTTAACTTACATTCCCTCCATTTAAAAAAAAGTTTATTCCTAACCCCTTAGCTGCTACGATCCACGACACAAGAAGTATTATCCCTCGAATATCCCTTGGATACCCACTTAAGCTGAGTTCGAATCTTACAAAGATTCATATTAAATACGGGCATGCAAAATAAGAAAGCTATTAGTACATAATCAATTAAGTTTTAATTATTACAAACTTAAAAATAGATATATTTGATATTTTAAAGCAACTTTTATATAGAAAGTTTTCGCACAAAATGTGTCGTTTAGTAGTTTGAAAAACGTGCTAACGGAAACAGAGGTAAAATCTCCATCTTCGTGAGAAAAGAATGGGACCTTAGTAAGAAACACATTAGGACAAGTACTATAAGCTCATATGATGATGTGGATGAGAGATATGAAAGGAGAGAGAAAGAATCACCTCCCATGCAAGGAGCATCCTCTACACAAACTCTGCGAGAGATGAGAACAAGAGACCAATGAATTGATATGAAACAAATAAAGTAAGTTAATATGATGTATTGGGACAAGTGTGCTAGAGATAATTTATTGTATATATTGTCTCTTAATTAATAAGTTGATGATGTGTACTAAATTAAGAGTGACTATCACCCCATTATAAAACTTGCCCTTAGTCTTTTTCTCTTACTACTAATTATTTTTGGAGTAGCTAGAAATATTTTTTTTCCAACACAAAGATAGTACAACTAATAGTAGTTCTTAAAAAAAAGTAAAGAAATAAGATAACTAGCCAGGTTATTCGAAAAAGGGAGAGTTTTTTTTTTGAACATTAAAAAAAAAGAGAGGGAGAGTTGCCATTTAGTTTAACAGACACAAGTATCGGTGCCCCAAAAAATACAATAGTAACTCTGAATATTTGACAAAATCCTGGTGTCCAAATATTCTTTCTCAGTTCTGAGCATTCCTGCAAAACCTCCAATTTTAGCATGTAATACATGCATAGTTCAAGTCACTAATTAAGTAATTCACCACCTTTGAGACAATGAAAGCTCGCTACTTAAATTCACCACCTTAGATTGTGTCAGCGGTCCACCACTCCAAAGCGTGAGTGCGAGCTATGTTTCCTGGTATTCTCTTCGCCTTTTTTGACCACCTTTCACATGAGTGTTTACATCATGGCTTGGCTGATTCATCATGCATGGATTGGTTACATTCCTTTTGAAAGGATTTAGTTGCTTGGGCAATATCGTGGTGACGCTCTATTATACTCCATCCTTTCCTAAATGTTTGACACCGTTGACTTTTTTAAATATGTTTGACCCTTTGTCTTATTAAAAACTTTTGTGAAATATATAAAACTATATGTATACATAAAAGTTTATTTAACAATGAATCAAATGATAGGAAATAATAATTACTTAAATTTTTTTGAATAAGACGAACTGTCAAATATGTTTAAAAAAGTCAACGGCGTCGAACATTTAGGGATGGAGGAAGTAGCTTTAATCAAAATAATTTTTATAGAGTAAGACTAGGATGAACGGAATCCTTAATGTTTATCTTTAGGATGCAATACATATTTCAGTATGCCATCTTCTTAAGTATTTAAGTATTTGTATCTTTTTTTAAAAAAGATAAATATGAATATTTTCTGGTGATAAGTACCATCTATATACCATAATAATTGTATTTCTAAAATTTGAATTTATCTTAAAATAATTATCCCAATAGAGTAATAATGATCCCATTCATCACTCATCTATTTTTTTCCCATTTTACCCTCAACTACTCTCTCATCCTTACCTATAAACCATTTAATAAGGGTATCATAATCTTTCTTTTCAAACCTTAATATGTGCTAAACACATTAGAATTACAATTAATTTGGGACGGAGGTAGTATTTGAAAATGGAGCGAATAATTAGTGCACCAAGATGACTTACTTATATGCTATTAGATGGTTATAGTTGCCATATGGGAAGATGAGAAACCTCCCAACTTTCACTAAATTAGATTTGTACAGGTGAAAGAACATATCATTGGATCATGTTTGGTAGGATGCGCAATTTGTTTTAAATGATCTAATTTGTGGACAGTTCTGAAACTTGCCCTCGAATACTGAGGGCTACCACTCGGTCGACGTGAATTAGAACTTAGAAGGGGCCATTTTCCACGTCGTTCTAGTTAATAAGAAAACTCTTTTCCGGCTATATATGACATTTGAACAACGGTCGATTAAACTTTTAAAATTCTAACAATCAACAATGTTTTAAATTATGTAGTTTTAAAATATAAAAAATAGTTTGTGTAGATCTGTTATAAACTTGTAACAAAAAGTTATAGTCAAATTGCACATAAGAAAAAAATCAAATGTGATATAATTTTAATAGGAGAGAGAGAGAGAGAGTATATTTCAACACCAACACAGAGAGAGAGAGAGAGAGAGTATTTTAACACCAACAAAGGTGTCTAACATACCTCTACGAGGCTACATTACATGTGTCTCTGTTAATAGTTAAACATTTTTTGTCACATTATGAACTCTCGCCCGCACATATTCGCATGAATTAGATAGTGATCTCTGTTCCCAAGTACTTTTAACGAGCACTATTGATATTTAAACTTTGAATATTCATAAGCTTATTTACTTTACTGTCAGTTTCAGTCATACCACATTTTGACAATGTCAAATTCTAGCACATTTTAGTATTATCAAAACTTGAGAGTGTTAGATGTGTTTAGTTTAAAGCCTTACCAAATCAAATATTTGAGAGTAGAAACTTATGGAATTATCAAAATGTGATAGAGTAGCAATTGCAAATAACATGTTTGATTTCTTGTCATCCTAAAAGTTGCTAATACTAAAATTCGATAGAGTTAAAAATGGTAACAGTTTATATTAACCACGTATAAATATGAATACATTATTGAAGCATGATGTATATAAGGTATATTAAAAATAACCATATAATTTATAATTAAGAACAAGAAAATACGATAATTTAAAATTCATGAATGGTCAAAACTGAGATAACACCGATCAAAAGCGATAAATAAAATAGTACTCCCTCCGTTTCACAATATAAGACTTTCTAGCATTGCCCACAATATAAGACACATATATATATATGTCTAGATTCATTAACATGTAAATAAATATGGGCAAATGCTAGAAAGTCTTTCACATTTTGGTCCTTTTAAAAAACTTATTTCGCAAATAGACCCCTAGAAAAACTTATCCCAAAAATGGTCCTTTTTGGGGCGCCAGAGTGGACGACGGCGCTAGCCACTCTGGCGCCGTCCCCCTGCCGACGTGGCGGGGCGATGCTGAGGTGGCTAGGGAGTGCGCCAGAGTGGCTGGCGCCCCCCCCCCAAAATTTTTTATTTTTGTTTTATTTGTTTGATATTTTTTTCACGCTTAGGGACACACAAGAACCAACCATAGAAAAATTGAACTCAAATGGACGTAATATGTGACCTGTAGAATTTTTCCTCTCCTCTCCTCTCTCCGAACTAGTGCAAAGGAGAGATGTGCAACTTTTTTATTTTTATTTTATTTTTTGATATTTTTTTCACACTTAGGAACTCACAGGAATCAACTATGTAAAAAATAAACTCAAACGGACGAAATATGTGGCATGTGGAATTTTCCAAAGTTTTACCGAAAAACTTCTCTCCTCGAAAACACAATCTTGCAAGCGGAATTTGGAGTTTTTAATATCGCCGAACCCGGCAAAGCGGGGGAGAATCAGATGTAACATTTTCTGTAGATGTCCGTGCATATATTATTTGCCTGATTCCGAGTCCGTATGAGAAAGTTACGCCTATTTTAATAGATGACATATTTTGTCCGTTTCGGTAGAGTTTTGGAAAATTCTACAAGTCACATATTTTATCCGTTTGAGTTTATTTTTTATACGGTTGGTTCCTATGTTCTCCTAAGTGTGAAAAAATATCAAAAAAATGAAATAAAAATAAAAAAAATTGCATTTCTATGTACTGTTTAACTTATATATGTCATTTCATGTGGTTATATTTTGAATTAGATTAAGTAATTTCATATAGTGGTAGAGTGCATTATGTTTAACATGCTGATCAAAGGGTTTTACTAAAGGAATTATGGTCTAATTTTAGTGAAGGTGCAAAGTAGACTAAGTGGTATGCTAGCTATTTTCAGACTTAGCTAAGTGGTAGTTCGAGTTTAAATTTTTTTGTGGTTGGTTGTATCGTGATCCTAAGTGTGAAAAAACATCCGAAAAAATAAAATAAAAATGACACCGTTGCAACTCCATACAGAAAAACAGGAATGGAGGCGGCGGCGCCAGCATGGCTGGCGCCCTCCTCCTGCCACGTCGGTTCGCGTGCGCTACGGTGGCAAGAGGACGGCGCCAGCCTCTCTGGCGCCGTCCTGTTGGATGACGGCGGCAGCCACTCTGGCGCCCAAAAAAGGATCATTTCTGGGATAAGTTTTTTCAGGGGTCTATTTACGAAATAAGTTTTTTAAAAGGACCAAAATGTGAAAAATCCAGGAAGTAAGGAGTATATATAAGAAAAAACTGTGTAACTTTTCATGGGCAGAGAGGAGAGGAAGTAACGATAATTTATTTATTTACTAAAGGATCCCTGTCAGGGTCGTCCCTTGACTCTGAAAAGTCCACGCCGGCTAATCCCCATTCCCCAGGGGCAATCCCGTACTTTCCTCCACCCTCCCCCCGCCAGGCCGCCACCACCAGCCAAAGCATGGCTCCTGTACCTCTACGGCGATACGTCACCAATCCCCTTCACAAAAAAAATAATAATACCAGAAAAATAAATAAATAAAAATAATAAACCAGGAAAAATACCACCAAGAATCAACGGGAGACGAGACGAGGAGATAGAGTGCGATAAGAGAGAGAGAGAGAGCCGAGTCGCCGTAGGAGGAGGGCTAGAGAGAGAAAGGTGGTAGTAGAGTAGTAGTAGATTTGAGGAGGTGAGAGAGAGAGAGAGAGTCATCTCTCTTCTTTGTATCCCCCGTCGCCAACTTCTCCTACCAACTTCTCTCTCTCTTTTTTTCTCCTCCTCCTCTTCTTCTTGGTGGCCGCTCGCCGCCGCCGACGCCGACGCCGCCGGCGGGTCTCGTCGTCGGTACGTGTTACTACGGGGGCCGGTCTGTGGCCCCTACCCTCCGTCGCCGTCGTCTTTTCTTGTTCGCGTGTGCGTTTATTTCTCGGCCAGAGGTTGGCGGCTTCCGGCGGTTCTTGGATTCCGGCAGGATTGATCGGCGTGGTGTTTCTTGGCCCCCCCGCGAATTCCGGCGGCATTCTGATGGCGTGCTTCTTCTCTCTTCTTTTTTTCTCTTGCTGGTTGTTTTGTTGAGTTCGTGTGGGGTGGTAGGATTGGAAGGTGGCGGTGGTTGGGGGGTCTTTGGGTGGTGAGGGAAGGGGGTGAATTCTCTGTGTTCTTGGGGGTTGTTGTTGTTATCATCTGAGCCTCTTAGGATTGGTTGGGTGGCGGAAGGTTGGTTGTTGCCACCTGCCCTGTTCGTGTTTGCGATTGATTTGTACTACACAGTGGGTGCTTCTCCTATGTGCAAATCAGATAATTCCGCGGTAACAAAGTCAGCGTAGGATTATGTTGGTGATGATGATGACTAGTGTGCCTGAAAATTCCATCTTTGCAGTAGTCCTTGGCTTGATAATACAGATAGATTCTTTGCAGAGTTCGTGCACTTCACTGTCACAACAAAGAAATCTTTTTTCCTCAAGAGTTAAATTCTAGTAGGATTCGTTGGATTCTGTAGGCCCTGGAGTGTGCTTGCTAGGTCTGTGCTAACTGTTAGTGGTGACTGGTGACAAGTACATCACCTTGATTTCTTCTTTTTTTTTTCACTCACTATTTTTAGGGCGTTTATTTGGTTACTCCTTTCGCCGAGTTTCAGTTAAAGCTGACCTGTGCCTCCACGTGACGTTAGTGGGGCTTTTGTCAGATGATACAGCTCTGTTGAGGATCGTGCTGGACATTGCTGCACTGTCAGCATCCTTGTTCCTTTGCTGTCTATTTGAGCCCTCAATTTCCAGTGCCTGTAGTACTCTTCACTGTCTCCATGGAAGTTGTAGGCCTGTTGAATGTTGATGTCTTATTGTCAACAGTTTTGTTCCCAGAGATTGATAACTCACATGAGTTTATCAGTTTTTGTAGTACGATTGGCTCCTTTAGATTCCATTTTATTGATTAGTAACTTAATGCTAATAAGTAAAAAGATATGAGTGTGATCTTCCACATTTGTTTGTTAGTGCATTAACCCGCCACTAGGTTTGCCAGTCGCATCTATGTGCTACTATCACAAAACATTTTTTTTTTGTCTATTGATGTGAAGAACAAATAGTCAATATTATTCTGTATATATTTGGCAATATGGTTAAGATTACCATTCATAGGGAAGAAATAGATATGGCCAATAAGAGAAGTGTAACGTAATTCCAGTTCGAGAAATGGTGGCAGTACCAAATGCCGAATTAGCGGCTGTACCAAATGATCAATGCCTCTGGGGTTTCCCTTCTCTTCAGCTCTCCCCGGTTTCACCAATGTGTTGGGCACTGAACACTGTTGTTGTTTCCAGCAGGCTAGTATTGTCTAATGTAATCAAAAGCTCTTGCATTAATTGCGACACACTTATTTCTCTCACGATGTCTCCATATTTGAACCTAAAACCTTTTTTTATACAACCTTATAGTACTCGCTTTTATAATTGGTTTAGAAAATCTTATATTTCTAACTATATTGCAGGTGGCATTGAAATATGGTTAGCTTGAGGAGGCGCCGGCTTTTGGGGCTTTGTTCTGGTATGAGACTCACTGCAATGTCATGATTTGTTTCCTGATATGTTTACGTAATTTTTCAGAGGAACTCTGTTGTGAAAATGTGCTACTTTAATTACTTACAAGTTATATACAAAGTCATCATAGCATGTCTTTCTTGGTTATGCTTATCAATTCTATTATGATCTGACTCTTCAATGGAACATGCTATACCTACTCTTTCAGATTAAAAAAAGCAGTACTGTGCACCCAATTTACAAATATCTTGTACATGAAATTTCTTGATTTTGTTTCTCTATTGGTATACCATCTGTAGTCAGCTTCCGTTGATACAACTTTGCAACTCCTTGTATACGTGTTTTATGTTGCTCCCCATGGTGTATAAGTTAGTGGGATTGGGAAATTATGTGGAGACCATAGGAGGAATTTGAATAGTCAATGGACCTTACAAGAACATGATTTGGCTGCGAACTAATTGCTTCCAGCACCAGAATTATCTGTGCAAAGAATTTAGACGGGAGTTGCCGTAGCCCTGATGGTACCATGATTAGATGGAGCACGTATAATCTGTTCCATATTGCATGGTGTGGAATGAAGTACTTTAAACATTTTTCTGCTGACTGGTTAGCTTACTATGAGCAGTCTTTGCAAAATTTATTATGGAAATCAATAAGGGAAGGCTTTCTATATATGTCGTGCTTCCTCTACCGTTCTTGTAATTTTTATTCAAAGATGTATATCAGTGCCCTTTGTGGGTTAAAAATCAATTTTGTTTAAAGAGTAAGTTGCATTGCCCACCATCTGATTGTAAACACAGCAGCTTGCACTATTTGTAAGTTAACACACCACTTCCACCTTCTAAGTTCACAGAAATTGGGCTCTCTGAACCAGGTTCAGTGGTTCATGAACATTATGTGAGGTGGGATGCACCCAAATGCTGGTGTAGCAATGGCCAGAGGCCATTCATTGTCCTGTTAGGATGCTGTGCCATACTGAAGGTGATTTCTTTGGGGGCATGTCTGAGCTGGCTTATTCACCCACACAGGAGGTGAAAGTGAATTCCTTGTTTTGCAATGGCATAACAGAACGGTCAAGCCGATTCTCACCCTCCATTTGGTTAGCTCCTGACATCACAGGTCATGTTGGACACACCTGGGTCTTTGTTCACATGGATATATGAGCCATTTCGTGGATGTGCCCACAGAGGTCTCAATGCACCATTTCCATCTCATTGTCGGAATGAGGCAAACCTGTAACAATAAACATGCTTTTACATGGTGGAAGAGTGCTCAATTTGTCCAAATTACATGGTGGAAGATGATATTTTAATGTGTTAAATGTCACAAGCTGCGGTTTTACATGAACAGATGGTGCAAAATTGCATATTACTTATGTTTAAATAAATTTAGAGGGCTATCGCAAATGTCAGCGTCAAGTGTTCTGGTATTCTTTTCTGAAGCTACACGTAACTCTAGAAGTATTTCAGCAAGAAGGGTGTAAGTTCATACTATTGTGTAGGCACACAGAAATGAAACAAGGGCAGATGTAGCCAGATTCGTGCAACTATACAAATCCTAATATAGTAAGACATCGTAACTACAAATATGCTGTGTGAATCACTGTTAGAAGCACATGGCTTCTGGTGAACTGTTGATTTGACCAACAATCGAGATTACGGACAAAATACTATTGGCAAAATAAGATTATTTCGAAGTATGACTATATTGTTTTCTCATCGTACTTCTTCCCATGAACCCAAGCAAGGGGATCATTTATGCAACACATACCTCCCTAGACAGCTAGACCAATGAATGTATTATGCGTACACTTTGAACGCTCATATTAATTTACCTTTTGTTTCAGGGAAAGATTCGTTACCGGTTGATTTTCCAAAGCCTAGTGACAATGAAAATTCTGTGGAAGTTGCACACCCTAACATAAAGCCATTCAGTGTGCACCCGCTGCCCCTGGTAAGTTTAACACCTCAATGCCAGTACAACTTTGCTGCAAAAATGTTTTGCTAGTTGCCACCTTGTGTTGTGTTTGATTATCTGTGAAAACCATGCTATCACAGTTTCTATTTATAGTTAATGGATATTACAAGTTATGGTATATTCAAGCATATCACCAAAGTTTCTGTGACAGAACTCTGACAATCATTTTCGCAAGTTAATTTACCATTGTTGGTTTAATCTTTACTTTGATTTTTACCATTTTAATTGTATTTTAGAATAGTGTGAATAAAATAACTGTATTTTCGCAAGGCTGTCATTGACCATAAAATTATACTACCAAATTAGCACCTTCAAAAAGCTAATGGTATGATTTAAGGAGTTCAAATTTATACCCACTACATTGATAAATCCTTGTCAACTTTTACTAAAATGGAGTTACCTTGGCAATAATTTGTTTATGCCCATTTTGACTTCTCCATTAATAACTGGATTATGGGTCCACTGCGTTTTTGGCGGGCAAGTAAATGAGGAAAATTAATGAGGCCAAATGAGTGAATATTAATTGGAAAGCACTCATGGGCTCGTGGCACATATTTGTGAACAAATAAAGTAGTAAAAAGCCATAGTAAAAAGTTACAAGTATTTGTGAAGGATATCAAAATCGAATGGGATTCTGATTTTGGTTTTGAACTTCGAATATGTCAGAAATATATTCAGTTGCTCTTTCTCTGACAATAAATGGTACAACCTGTGGCTTTTCAGAAATAACACGTCAGGCACTGACAAGCTATTTCTTAACATAGCGCTGTAAGATAGATTGTGCTTGACTGCTCCTTGTGTCAATGGACTACTTTGATGGTGTTCTCTTTTTATCATATCTACTTTACCTTCTAGTACTTTTATCTACATGGTGGGAAAATAAGTAAAACCAATGGATTGAATAACAAGATTGCTGCTCTTGTTTGTTTTGTTGCAGTGCCACTTTTCAACAGTAGCTTCATGTGTTATACTAATTCCTTTTTTTTCTTCTGTTTCATATGGTTTGCTTTATAGTGACTCCTTAGAAACTACATTATTTTCTGATGCTTCTGAACACATGCTATTTGCACTGGCAACGATGGTTTTGTTTGATAAAATGTACCTTTTTGTTGCAGACTAAAAATTCTGATGTACTTCTGGAATCTTCAAATGGGTCTGATTCTTTAAAGGAAGAGAAAAACCATTACTATCCAGGTTCATATTATTTCATAGTACTCTTTGTATTTCCTTAAAGTATATAGTCCAGGTAAATTTTATATGGCAAATGGTTGTTTTATAATTCGGTATCAGAAATCTTATCTAGGTACAACTCTATAATAGTCCCATCAAATTAGGCTGACTTTGAACTTCTTGAATCATGATGAAACTGAATCCATTCTTGGCCCAACTTTCTCATTGAAGCATTGAACACAACAGGATATATTATGTTTTAGCAACCAATAGAAAGGACGCTTCTGATCCATGAACAGACTTGCACATGAATTGAGATTACCCCGAACGTGATGTCGAGGATGAAACTGCTCTCACCAAAACCAGATAGAGTTGAATTACATAACTAGGTGACCTGACCTGGGATGTTTCACTAGAGCCTTTTCTTTCTCTAAAAGATTCTACCTTTTCTTTTCCATGAATTCCCTTTTTTTATTCATGTACAGAAACTCTTTTGTTATTTTATTTCAGATTTGCATTGGTTACCTTCATCCTTAATGAGGTATCCAAAGGCATAAGCTGAACGTGTCATTTTTATTTTGACAAAAATATAATTTGCTTCCTTTTATATTTATAGGCAAGGAAATCAAGCGCAGAAAACGACATAGAAGAAAGCAGTATGTGGACCAAGAACCATGCATAATGAGAGGGGTCTACTTCAAAAACATGAAATGGCAAGCTGCTATAAAAGTTGACAAGAAACAAATCCACTTAGGTACTGTCGGGACACAGGAGGAAGCAGCCCGACTATATGATAGGTATTAGCTGGACTTTTATGCACGATTATGATATTTCTATCTTTGCATATAATATCATGTTCTGCTTTGTTAGTAATATGCTGATACTTGTATACAATACTATAAATCTAATTTACTTTAATATCATGAAGAAGTGATATATTGATATATGCTAGAAAATATTACAAAGGAACTAGCTAGTCTGCAAAGTTATCGGAGTAATAGCCAAAAATTTTTAGAAGCACCTTCACCAAAACAGTACAATGTTGCTTTATCAAATCTGTTTGTTGTCTCAATAAACTAAGGTTTTTTTATTATATAATGATTAAAGACTGTTAACATCCTAAAAGATCAATATTGTTCCATGCTTAAGGTGGACTACTCATCATTGTTGGCATACAACCCTCAAGCCTGTATACATACAGTATAGGTTGCATCATATGCATATTACTTCAAACGCCACTTGCATATCTGCCGTGGCCAACTGATCATAATTTATTGTGTAGGAGAAGCTGATATTTTGTTTGAACTGACTAGATTTGACATATCAACACAGGGCTGCTTTTATGTGTGGAAGGGAGCCAAACTTTGAACTTTCTGAGGAAGAGAAGAAAGAACTACAGAATTACACCTGGAAGGACTTCTTGGATATGACTCGAGACACCATAACCAGCAAAAGTAAGACGAGAATTTTAAAATTTCTTGTGGTTGTCACTTAATTTTTCCCTGCTAGTAGTCAAGTACATCAATATATATATCATTAGTAGTAGACTATAACATACTTTTTGTTCATCTGTTTGTCTTCAGAACAAAGGAAAGTTGGATTAATAAGGCGCAATAAGACGGACTCGCTGGTAGGACAGAGTGATGGTGATACTGAGATGATCAATGGTGGCGGCTCATCGCACTCGGAAGATGGAGATGCTGAGACCTCAGCATCTTAATTAAGACTGCCACCAGAGTTCATGGACAGCCAGATTGGGTCTTTCAACAGATTCGTTTCAATGAAGACATAATTTCCATTTAGGTTTTTGTTCTCTCAATAATTAATTTCATGTGCATAAGGGCCCTGATGGTCTGATAAAGGTTAGGCTAGAGAAATCATGCCATCCCATATAAAGTTGGAGATGGTCCATTATAGGAACACATTTCTCTGAGCAAATGAGCAATCATGTATAGAAACACCAATTCCTGAACTGTGTATATCTTTACCCCAAATTTCTCTACATGTAACTAGATTACACATTTAATAAAGAATTTATTTTTCCTTTCAATTACTGTATCTTTCATTCTTTCAAGGAAGCATGATCCGTTACATTTATCCATTAAACATTATATGCCAGTTTCTAGATGACATTAAACCTTTTGTTTGTTCCCCTCCTCGCTCTCTAAAAATTGTATTGAGTACGAGAAAGCAAAATTAGCACCATGATTTGGCCATTGTCTTGTTTTTTACCCCCAAATTATCGTTTACACCACAATTTCGTACCAGCGTCCATCCCTCTGTTCATACAGACGTGTAAGTCTGAGGCCAACCACAATTTCGTACCAGCGTCCATCCCTCTGTTCATACAGACGTGTAAGTCTGAGGCCAACCGAATAATTTATCTGTATCTCTACTACTTAAAAAAAGTATGTAGTGGTGACGGTGAAGCCAATCCTAACGGACACATGTCCTATGAAACCATTGGATTGGGACAGCAGACCCCATCGCACGCGACTCGCTTTCCTCCGCCGCGTGGCTCACGCTCGCGATCCAACGGAAAATGCTACTTTTGTACGATTTTTATACGCGATCGTTACGCGGACGGCGCTTGGCATCTTAACGTTACGTGGTGCATGCGTATGTTGCAGCCCAAGCCCATACGCATATACTCATTATTTTGTTTTGCCTTTTTTTCTCTGTATCCAAATAAATATAAACCATGCCAAACATTGGCTCATACATGAACATTTGCTGCATCTTATCGACTTATCCTGATTTGTGCCATTGGAAATTTAGAATACTTCCAGCTAGGGGTGATACTACCAGGGTCCGAGGTGCAAGGATCATATATACTCCCTCCGTTTTATAATATAAGACATTTTGACTTTTTGCTTGCACTGTTTGACCATTCGTCTTATTTAAAAAAAATTAGAATTATTATTTATTCTAAAGTACTTTAAACACAACTTTTAGTTTTTTATATTTGCACAAATTTTTTGAATAAAACGAGTGATCAAACATTGTAAGAAAAAGTCAAAATCCATTATATTATAGGACGGATGGAGTATTTGTAAAACTAGGTTCATGTCAAAATAATTTACTTAACTTAAGCTAGGTTACATGATAAGTGTTGAGCGACAGTACGAGTATATAAGATTGATTAGGAAAAATAAATTACTCTGGTTAGCTGTGCCAGGAGGCTTAATTATAAGATGTCAGGACGATGATGTGATGAGCTTGGGGTTTTGGATATGGGCCGGCTCAGCGTTAGAAGAGGTCCAGTGTGGGACCAGAACTTGCAACGTTAATCAGCGTTATGAGCCTAGAAGAGAAACGTTTCATCGTACAACCGTCGTAACAAATTAGTCGTACGTATAGCAGCGCCGCGATCCAACTGGCGACGCCGCGCCTCCCACTTCTTCACCGCGCCCCGCTACACCTCCACCGCCGGCGCCCCTTGGCCCAAATAGCAGCCCGTCAGCCCATCAGGAAGAGGAGAAGTGGAATGCCTCGATCTTTTCTCGGCTCATCCCGTACGCCGCTACTCTTCCACGTCTCTTTGGTTTCCATACGCCGTGTCTCCCGAGAACATCTCGCCGTCGCCTTCCCCCTCGCTTGGAGAACGGCAGTGGGTCACGGCTAGGGACGCCGCACTCACTGGCTGCCGGCCAACCCGTCGCTGATCGTCCAGTCCAGGGGCAACAGCCAGCATCCGGCCAAACTTTCACAATATCAGCCACGAATAAGTCCATCAAGGTAACAAATAATGCTTCATCTATTTATTTTTCAATCAACTTCACTGGTTATAGACAAAACTAATTGGATGTTATTTTTCATATTGTAGGATTAGGAGTCCAGTAGGTTTCAATTTGGGTTCTTGAGAATTGGAGTAAAACTGCAAATTGGAGGCAAATTATAAGTCATGTAAACTGTGATTTTACTTGAATGAATGATAAAAAAAAGTATACAATTTCAATTTCTGGAACGCAATGATAGAGCATGATACTTGATTTTTTTTTCTGTTTCTTGTTAAGAGAAAACAAGGATGGTGGATATTTAGCATTTGTTAAGAAGAAATTGTTTAAGGCTGAAATTGTTAATTGACATAGATGGACTCTGCTGAGACCGGGAAAGAACCAACTGAGATTTTAGCCAATACAGAGATACCAGAGCAGGTCAATGACTCAAACATCACTTATCAAAGAATTGAGTAGATAAAAAACATCTGTGCATCAGAACACAAAAAAACCAAAGAAGGAACATGTAATCCAAATTATGCGGCAAGGTACTTCTATTTTCTTTAGAAATTATGATGTATTTTCTTTTGTTCAAATATGATTTATTTTTGAAATCTTCCGCTATAGATTATATTTGCAGCGAAGAAGATAGTTAGCTCATAGGTTATGTGAGACAATTACCAGAGAGACAAATGGTCGTCGACATCAGTGGTGCCTTTCTTTACATATATGACATGGCCTGTCTTTTTTATGACAGTACTTATGTTAATGGCGATGTAACTACAATTATGTTTAGTATGCATACCACAACATGGCTAAAAATAATCTAATTGTTTTTTTGCATAGGTTATAAATGCTTATATTCATTGTATATGGGAAGAAAAACACCTTACTAATAGAGATGGTGGAAAGGTATTTTTGGATAACACTATTATTTCTAGCATTCTTAAAAGTGACGGTGCCTCAAACTTAGGTCACAAAAATTATAAGGATGATACTATTTGCGGTTCTATGTCATTGAATATTGCTGTAGCATTAGCTAAAAAAATTGATGGGAGATAAAAATGAGGACTTTAAAATATCTGGAATAGGTTTTCCTGGTCAATTATGGCCGTGTTTAGTTCGTGTGCCAAAATTTGTTTAATACTTCAAATGTGTGTCTGTATACTTCAAAAAAATTTTGGCACACAAAGTAAACACGGCCATAATTGACCAGGCAAACCTATTCCATATATTTTAAAATCCTCATTTTTATCTCCCATCAGTTTTTTTAGCTAATGCTACAGCAATATTCAATGACATAAATCAAAGAACCACAAATAGTATCATCCTTATAATTTTTGTGACCTAAGTTTGAGGCACCATTATTTTTAAGAATGCTAGAAATAATAGTGTTCTCCAAAAATACCTTTCCACCATCTCTATTAGTAAGGTGCTTCTCTTCCCTTATACAATGAATATAAGCATTTATAAACTATAAAAAAAAAACAATTAGATTGTTTTTGGCCATGTTGTGGTATGCATACTAAACATAATTGTACGTACATCGCCATTAACATAGCTACTATTATAAAAAAGAAAGACAGGCCATGTCATATCTGTAAACAAAGGCAGCACTGATGTCGACGACCATTTGTCTCTCAAGTAATTGTCTCACATAACCTACCTATGATCTGATTATCTTCTGCGCTGCAAATATAATCTATAGCGGAAGATTTCAAAAATAAATCATATTTGAACAAAAGAAAATACATCATAATTTCTAAAGAAAATAGAAGTACCTTGCAGCATAATTTGGATTACATGTTCCTTCTTTGGTTTTTTTGTGTTATGATGCACAGATGTTTTTTATCTACTCAATTCTTTGATAAGTGATGTTTGAGTCATTGACCTGCTCTGGTATCTCTGTATTGGCTAAAATCTCAGTTGGTTCTTTCCCGGTCTCAGCAGAGTCCATCTGTGTCAATTAACAATTTCAGCCTTAAACAATTTCTTCTTAACAAATGCTAAATATCAACCATCCTTGTTTTCTCTTAACAAGAAACAGAAAAAGAAATCAAGTATCATGCTCTATCATTGCGTTCCAGAAATTGAAATTGTGTATTTTTTTTATCATTCATTCAAGTAAAATCACAGTTTACATGACTTACAATTTGCCTCCAATTTACAGTTTTACTCCAATTCTCAAGAACCCAAATTGAAACATACTGGACTCCTAACCCTACAATATGAAAAATAACATCCAATTGGTTTTGTCTATAACCAGTGAAGTTGATTGAAAAATAAATAGATGAAGCATTATTTGTTACCTTGATGGACTTATTCGTGGCTGATATTGTGAAAGTTTGGCCGGATGCTGGCTGTGCCCCTGGACTGGACGATTAGCGATGGGTTGGCCGGCAGCCAGCGAGTGCGGCGTCCCTAGCCGTGACCCACTGCCGTTCTCCAAGCGAGGGGGAAGGCGACGGTGACATGTTCTCGGGAGTCACGGCGTGGAAACCAGAGAGACGTGGAAGAGGGGCGGCGTACGGGATGAGCCGAGAAAAGATCGAGGTCTTCCACTTCTCCTCTTCCTGATGGGCTGACGGGCTGCTATCTGGGCTGAGGGGCGCCGGCGGTGGAGGTGTAGCAGTGCTCGGCGAACAAGTGGGAGGCGCGGCGTCGGCAGTTGGATCGCGAGCGTGAGCGACGCGGCGGAGGAAAGCGAGAAAAGCGAATCGCGTGCGACGGGGTCTGATGTCCCAATCCAATGGTTCATAGGACGCGTGTCTGTCAGGGTTGGCTTCACCGCCACCACTACATACTTTTTAAGTAGTAGAGATATTTTTATGGCCCATATTTATGGAAAGATTTTGATGTCTGGAGATATTTATCTTGGTAATGATTTATGTCTTGGTTTGCATAATGAATTCAATTCTTGGAATGGTGTCAAACTGTCAACTCAGTATCACTCTCGAATGGTGTTAAACTATCAACTCAGTATCACTCATCGATATTCATCAGGTTCTTTCAGGTGTGCACCTAAATATGTTTTTTTTTGAAACCTAAAAGAAAGTGTAAATGTTGGTCCTAAAGTGTGGAAATGTTTCTTGGGCTACTTTGATGTAGCTAATGAGCTATGAAGAGTATGTCAGAATATGATCCTTTTAATGAACCTCTTTTCCGGATGTTTTACTAAGCATTTTTTTTAACTCTCTCGATTCATCTCTGAAAAATTTTATAGGTTACTGGCCCTAAGTTTGGCTCAATTATAAATTGGTTTTTCCAATATTCGGTGCGACTTCCATAGTTGAGGAACCACATATCAAATTATATGTTTTTCTAAAGGAAC